ATAAATCAGAACATTAAACACCTGTTCAGAGATGCAAATGCTTGGCTCAGTTTCAGTTAAAAGAATTACCAACACTTTTTACATCTGGGAAGACTTTCACCTTGACATTGCTTAAAGGCAAATCTGACAATATAGGAGACATGGAGATTTACAGAAGTAAAATGAAAGTATGTATTTAATCAAAAGAAAATGCCTATTTAAAATGTTATGGCTCATATAATGCTTTATATACAGTACATAATTAAAAAGTTTACAATAAACTGTCTTGCCTATACATGCTGCTTCTTCATTTCTATAGAAAAAACTAGGGTACAGACAAGAGAAGGCTTTCAGAATACTATTTTATATACTATATACCATCTTAACCTTAATATTATACAGGATATTTCTAGTTAGAGACAAGCCAAACCATTTAGATGACCCTTTGTCTAGTAAATGAAGTCTAGGGATTATAATATGAAATGATGGAAATAAACTGAAATGCCACTTTGTTAATGTAGTGGCTTTCTAATTTCTTTTCACAAGTGATTTTGTGAGCTGCTTCCTACATAGGCCAAAAAGCACAAAGTGCTTTATTTAAAAGAAAATTTTAGGTGTTGATTTGAATAGAAAGTACAGGTTTTCTTTTCTTTTGACAGTTTGCTCTTGAAAGTTTTTCTGTGAAATACATAATATACTGTTTCTAGTTGAATGTAATGATCCCTCACACTAGAAAAAAATAAAAAAAAGAACAAACTTGTCTAATTTCACATATTGAGGAACCTATTTGTGAGCTATATGTGTATTAAATAGCATCAGAAAGCACTAATATCAAAAGAAAATTTTCAAAAAATGTTAGTAAGTGAATGCTGTTATATTTTCACTGGAGATATTTTGATAACATCACATATATTGTTTTAAACCTATATAGCTTCTTTGTAGTATTGGGATCAATTTAACATTCTCAAGGCACAACAATCTTATTAAAATAAGAAAAGAAAAAGTAATTCACATGTCTAATATATTTATTTAAAAAATATTAGAAATATAAAGTAACAAAAAAGCTGAAATAACCACAAAACAACACTGCAATTGAATAATACATGATACAAAGATTCAGAAGTAAAAACTAAGAAGAAAATTTTTAATAATCATTAACAATTCAATATTTGTTCTTTATCCCATGCTTGGAAGATCATTATATAAGGTTTAAAATGAGTAGGAAAAATAGTAATGTTCAATTTAATATGTAAATTATCCAATTATGTCTCAAAATTTTTGATATGTTCTTAATCCATCTCTATGTTCCCAAGTCAGATGACATTTATCTGGTCAGACTATTTAAAACCTCACTTCAATGGACCTTAAAATAATTTTGTGTAACTTTCTCCTTAAAATCCATGTTTTCTGGATTCTAATACCCTGTACTTATAGCCCTTTCAACACGCTTTCCTGATAGCTGATCAAGACATGCCCAGTCTTCAATCCCCAGTTTATGTACCATTTTTCCAAGAAATTTAATCTGAAGCTATCCTGTCCTAACCAAATGGAAGTGATCACCTCTTTACTCCCATAGCCTCTGTCTATACTTCTTTTTGGCTACTGAATCACGGATTCATGACACAATCACGAAGATGGGTGTCAGGTCTGGAACCCCAGAGAGAAGGGATATGATTGAGCAATAAATGTTAACTCGTGAACCAACCCTCTCCGTACCATTCCCAGTCTCATCAAGGGCCCGACAACTTTGGGTCCTTCCTCCACTTTCTGGCTCAGCAACAGCAAGATTAGGACTTGGAACCTAAAGAAGTCAATAGAAGGACAAAAAACTTAAAAAAAAAAAAAAAAAGTCCACAGCACCACCTTCTGGAAAAGGAAAAGTTTAACTTTCTAAGCTACTACTATCAAGAACTCAAAAATATGACATCACAAGAACAGAAGATTGGAAAACTTCCTAAACCTAGAGAAGGAACTAAATATGCAAATCCTTGAAAAAAAAAAAAAAAAGAACACCTGGTTATCTAAACACAATGAGAGCTACACAAAGACAAAGCAGTGAAACTACTACCAAGAGTTAAAAACCAAAAATATTCAAGGCAACTAGGGAAAAAAGCAGGTAACTTACACAGGTACTCTAGTTTGACTTACTTTAGACTTTCCTGAGGAATTCTACAAGCAAGGAGAGAATTCTACAAGCAAGGAGAATGGCATATTCAGAATATTCAAAGATAAAAATTGCCTATCAAGAATACTATATCCTACAATACTCTTTCAGATATGAAGGAGAAATAAAAAACTTTGCAAACCAACAGAAGCTGAATTTGCAAACACTAGATCTCTACAAGAAAAGTTGAGAGGAGCACTTATATTTAAATTGAAGAGAAAAAGCTCAACAAGAAAACTGACAAGGAAACAGAACCAGAAAATGGCAGTAGCAAATACTCCTATATCAATACTCACCCTAGAGAGTTACTCTACAATCCATGTTCTTAAATATTCTATTATATTGATTATCATACCCTTGAAAATACTCCATCTTTTTTTGACATAAGAATTATTTTGATAAAATTATTTTGATAAAATTAGAAAAAGAACATCCTGTGCTACTTTAATGTATACTTCTCCACCACTTTAAAAGTTAAAGGACCCAAATATTGCTACATTTTGCCATTTCATACTTGACAAGTTATATGCTCCGAATAAAGAGTTTATCACTTAGTAATTCATGAAAAGTAGTGAGGACTCAACCATTCTGAACATAAATAAAAGGAAAGCGATATTGTTTTAAATAAAGTGAATTTATGTACACTGAAATCTTTTTATCCCTATGGGTGTTTGATAGTTGAGGTTTTGCTATTGTAAAATTAAAGTGACTGTTTAAAAAAAGAACTTTTCATTTCTCTCCAGATAGAATGAATTTTTTTATTGTCTCCCACACAGGGATGCAGTTAATACACTTCAGAGCTTAGAAGAACTCGTAGAGAGGAAACTACACTCCTGACTTTTTTACTTCTAAAAGAATAAATTAGAAGGTTAAAAGTTATAAACAAGATGCATTATATCAAGCTCGAACGGCAGCTTGGAAATGCAGATTTAATTTCAATCCTGGTTCATGAAACAGTATTTGGTGTGACAACAGAGTTTTCTAGTCTATTTATAAGTTTCTAGGTCAATATTAACATTCAAATTCAGAAAGATGACAATGTTCCACAGCTGCAGGCAAGACTTCATGATGAGACTAAAATAATAGACAATTGAAAGGTATGACTTTCATTTACAAGTACTTAAGAAAACCTCCTTCAGGTAACTGATATCATCACGGTCATGTCACATAGGAGGCAACTGTGTCTCAGGGAGGTTATGTGAATGTCTCGGGGTCACATAAGTAAGAAGTGACAGAGCAGAAACTACACTCAGATCCTCTCCCCCAGAGCTAGTACTTTTAACAACTTGGTCATATTGCTTCTCAAAGATCTCTGAGGGGATCCAGGCTTGAATGTAATTAGCAATGCTCAATATCAGTACTGAGATACAATTTCTGGAGGTCTCTTGCATCTTTACCTGCCTTACAAACAGATGCATTGATGGCTTTTGGTCTGGAATATCTTGTTAAAGTATATTTGTATAAAGGATTACATTGCAAAATAAATTTTTTTCATAGGATTACATTGCAACATAAAATTATGTCTCCCTAAAAAGCAATGGACAGACATGTTTACTGTCTGTTAAAATATTAGAGTTTCTTATATTTAGAGCACCACTCCTGAAACCAACCCACTGTGTTTGCAGGTGTTTCTGGCCATCTTGGCATCGTGCTGTAAGAACTGACCTCAGAAAACCAGTATTTAATAAAATACTGCTACCCAGGCAATTGCTAATTTTCAATGAGTAATTAAATTCTTTATTTCTGAAAACACAACAAAAATTTCCCTAAATTGGAAGTGAATTTAGGTTCTGTAGCACCTAAAATTTGCCACTATTTTGGGATCTTCCTTTAGAAAAATAATATAAAATGACATGAAGTTCAGGACTGTGGAAGACTGCTGGCCAGTGAGAGGTCCTGTAATGGAAGTTCTATTAGAGGTAAATCCATCTTTGTCTGAGTTATATTTTTGGAAGACATAATTTACACTTTGACAAATGACTCTAAATGACTTTTCACTCCCTAAACAACAAGCCTAAATGTTAAACAGTGTCTCATTTTAGAAAGTAGCTATTAATTTTTGTTTTCTAGGCAAAATAAGAATCTAGAATATGTCTTCTACACCATAATCTTTTGAAAACTCTGATATGTATTTGGATAATTTTGTAGGAACATTTTTGAAAAATCTATTGAATCTATAACATAAATATGATCAAGCTAAAGTCTCATATTGACTTTTTTCTTTTTTTTTTTTTAAATTTATTTATACAAGCACTGGGTACAGTCAGAAGCGTGAGAGGGTGAGAGAATTCACCAGAGCCAGAGCGGGGAGCAGAGCAGGCAGAAGGATCGAAGTACACTGCTGAGGGGAGCAGCGGGCGGCAGGAGAGGTCTGCGCGCCATGCGGGACCCTCCTCCGGTGGCCGGGAGCAGCCGGGGATCGAATCGGCGCTGCAGAGGCTGCGGGCAGCTTCGCAGCCCAGTGCTCAACCGCAGTGCCACCGGGGAGGCCCAATCATATTGATTTCTAAAACCTATACAGGTGACAGAAATAGTCACATTTTAGTAGCATCGAGTTGGGACTCTTGAAAAATGGAGTTGATGGAAACTGAGGGATGACTATTGATAGTTTCAGCTATCGATAGATGAAACTCTAAAAAAGCAAATGATCACATACAGCACTGAAAAGGAAAAAATAGCATAATTCATTTTGTTGTGTAAAATCATTTCCTTTTATCATAGTAAAAGCTCAAAATGGTTACCATTATTAAGTCATATGTTGTATTGTTCACAGATAACAATTAAAGGTTAAACATTATAAAATATTTACTTATATGGAAATCAATAAACAATTTAAAAATGAATATAGTTCACCTACTTTTGAAATATTACTTGATCGACTTGCAGATCGCCCTGGGGATTTGTCATTCTGAAAAATATAATTAGAGACACTGATTAGATCTATAGCAAGTCTTTACTACATAGAGAAGACAGCATAGCATAGACCAACATGTAAATACTCTATAAATTTATAAATTTTTATGATTGGCATACAAGTTGCTTAGACAGGATAACTTTTTCCTACTAGTTATGTATCTCTAGAACAGATTAGTACCCTTTGGAAAATGTTTCCGTTAACATGAAGCTTTATTTCAATGTAGGTTTATATCAATGTATTCCTAGGAAATGTTTATTTCTTTACAAAAATTTAGGCAATTCCTCTGAAATAAAATTAGATGATGGAAATAAAATCAATGATTTCCCTTTTTGATTTTGCTATCAGGAAATTCTGAGTAACTTCTGGTTCCCTGTGTCAGTCAATACTGTACCAGGTACATGGCATATACAGTTAACCCATGTTCTCCTACAATGCATTTTATAAGTCTTTACCATTATTTTACTTTTAAGAAAAAACTTTAAAAGATACTTTTAAAAATGAAAACATGTTTTTAAAATTAAAAATACTTTACATCCTTGGTTCTTGCTTTTTAATGAATTTCTAATTTAGTATAAAAGAAACATGAATGTTTTTGAATAGATAACTTTTTAATAAGCCATACAATTTTCAAGTAGAAAGGGGCCTTAACTAGTTGCACCCCCTCCTCTGAAGATAAGAGGCACCTATCCTGACAATTACAGAGTTGCTACTACATCAGGGCCAGCCTGAGGCCTATGACTCATGTATTTGGTCAATCTACTTGTCATTACCTGCTGGTGGATAACTGACTTACAGATCTGAATCCATGGGCATCACAAATTTTACATGTAGCAAGAAATCACAATACAATCCTCCCTCTGAAGAAAAAATGTTGGATGCACCTGACTTGGAAATCAAGTTTGTGAAGGATCTGAAATAATTTCACCACTTACATACCTCAGCATTCTTTAAAAAAAAAAATTTTTTTTTTTCCTGAGCATTTGGACTTAGCGACAAATCACAACTGAATAGACTGGCCAGTGAATCTTGACAGAGGTCATTTTTAAGAACTAAACTCTAAGAGCAACCTGTGGGTCTGAAATTACCCACAATGATGGCTTGAGATAGTTTTGGAAATACAGTAGAGGCAGGACATGCCAAATGTGTTATTGTGAAAAAACAGTAGCTGCATTCACTGCAAACTGTCACTGTGTCATGCACCGGTTGGCAGAGATTTCAATTGAACAATACCTTTTCCTTTCCATGTGACATCTATCTAGCATAACCACTGATGTCACTGTGGCGTGTGTTATTACAGAACGAGATGAGTCACAACGATATGATTAGTTACACCTCATAACGGTCCTGCGATCCAGCTGGAGATTAATGTATATGCTACCCACACACATTTTTCCTTGATTAGCTTCCTCTGGTGATGGAGAGAGGCATTTCTCTACTGACATCTCAACTCCTCTTCTAGAGACTAGGAAACAAAATCGATCTGTCTTTCCTTCTCAATGAAATTCAGGATTTTGATACATGACTGTACAGAACAGAGGTAAATAAGCCACATAATATAGTAAGTTTTACAAGGAGTTTTGCTGTAGTGTTATTTTGTTATGTTCTCTATATTTGTGTTGTATTTGAGAACGTGATTAAAGAACTAGAATTGAAAGATGCTTCAGTAAGAGGTACAGCAGGAAATTCAATTTGGCATTTGATTACTTAATTTTTCAAAACAAATAGGATTTTGGGCTTATTTTTATATAAAACAAGGAGGGTCAGTTTCTGCCCACAACTGGGAGTTCAATACAGGTTTATGATAAGCAGATAATTCCCATATGCTTTATCAGCATTCCCCAATCTTATGGAGAGGAAACATCTTCCTGATTATTTAGAACTTCAAGACAACTTTTAACTTGAAATCCACTGGCTTCTATTTTCTCCCCTGAAAAGGTCAGATACTGAAAGATATAAATGAGCTTAGGCATAGGTTAACATTTACCCCATGGCTGTGTTCTCTATCATTTCTATTCAAATTAACACATGGGAGCAGACTGGTCCACGCCATTGCTGTGCTGCCAGTGATGCCGATTAAGAGATGGATTTGCTACTAGACCCACACTATCCTTAGCATGTGTATATTGCTTGACATTCCAGGACTTCAATTTCCTCACTAAGAAATGAGGCAGGCTGCCTTGGAGATTGTTGCAAGGATCAAATGAGTTATAAATGAAAATATATTATAGATTGCAAGGTTATAATATTCCCATTATTCACAAGCAGAGGAAACCAAAAGGGCTCTCTCAAAAATCACAATTACCATCACAGGTTACCAGACTCATAATTTTAAAATAAACCTTGACTTTTCCATCCTACGATTCCACCTATTGGGGATTTGACTCTAACATATAAAATTTAAGAATGAAAAATCAAATTTTTATCCAATCTGGGGGATTAAGGAAGTTTGCTCTACTCTGCTTTTGAAGCAAAACACCAGAAACACTTTTTCTTTTGGAAAACTTCCAAAGCAATCTGTCCAATTTGCTACTAATTGATTGGGTGGCTTGTCCCATTACTATTGCAACGACATATTCTTCTTTGTTTGTAGATTAATCAAATACGGTTGTCATACTTCATTATGATCAGTTTGAATTCTTTACCTTATATTGAATAGAAGCTGTCTCAGAATCTTATGTAACTTATTGGTGTCCAAATTATAGTGATCTTGTAAGTCAATGAAAGTTGGACCCAACAAAAGCTCCAGACAAGTCTGCTTGAAAAATGTGGGATCACCCCCAGTCACGCGAGATCTTAGTAGATTGTTTACAGCCTACAGAAGGAAAGAGTTCTAGTTTCACAAGTGTTTTTTTTTTTAACATTTTTGAGAGATTTCTAATTTTTGGTTTGATATGAATATATCCTATATTATTAATTTTGGATTTTGATTATTACTAATATAATAATAATTGTTTTTCAAATTTGATCTTATTAAACAGGGTTGAAGAAAAAAAAAGATTACCAAATAAGAAAATCATCACTAAATTATTTCAAGATATATTCAATGTCATGATATAAAAAGAACTTTTTTATGGTTGCCATGAGGATTCTTTCTTTCTTTCTTTCTTTCTTTCTTTCTTTCTTTCTTTCTTTCTTTCTTTCTTTCTTTCCTTCCTTCCTTCCTTCCTTCCTTCCTTCCTTCCTTCCTTCCTTCCTTCCTTCCTTCCTTCCTTCCTTCCTTCCTTCCTTCCTTCCTTCCTTCCTTCCTTCCTTCCTTCCTTCCTTCCTTCCTTCCTTCCTTCCTCTTGCTCTTTCTTTCTATACAAGAACTGGGGTACAGGCCAGAGGCACAGGAGGATGACAGGATTTACCAGAGACAGAGTGGGGAACAGAACAGCAGATCGACTGAAATACACTGCTGAGGGGAGCAGCGGGTCAGACAGGAGAGGTCTGCTGCCCCATGTGGGTATCTCCCTGGCTGGCCGGGAATCGAACCCGTGCTGCAGAGGCTGCGAACAGCTTCACAGCTCTGCGCTGAACCCGCTACACCACCGGGGAAGCCCTGTATCAAATTTTCTATATCTAAAATAGTCCCTTTTTGCCTAGTATCACCTTGTTCTGAACAGATTCTGTCTGACTTCCTCTTTAATGCTTTGTTGTTGTCTCATATTACTCTTGTTTATGTTTCTGATTCTGTATTATTCTTTACATCTTGCTCAGGCTTTAGGTACATTTTTTCATGTCGAAGAATTCCTTTTAGGGGAGATCTTGTACATGTCATTAGCTTTTGTTTTTCCAGGAAAGCCTTCATTTCTCCATCTTATTTGAGTGATAATTTGCATGGAAGAATATTTTTTGCTGGTGGTTTTTATCATTTTGTATTGTGAATGTGTCATTTCGCTCTCTCCTAGTTTGTAGAGTTTCTGTGTAAATTATGGTGATACCCTGATTGGGGTACCTTTGTATGTTATATGTTTGCCCTGCCTAGCATTCTTTAATGTTTCTGACAATTCAACAAGGATGCATCTTTTTACATTTAGAAACTCCTTCTGTTCCTTTTGTTTTTTCCCCTGAGATCATAAACCTATCTTTCTGTGTTTACTTAAGATTCTCAACTTCATTGGATTTCCTGTGATAGGTCTAAATTCTTTGTTCAATTTTCCAATTCTCTGTCACTGAGTTTGGCTTCTGGTGATTTATCCTCTTTCAGCATTTCCTTCTTGTGACTCCCCAGACTGGCTTTTTCTAGGTACGTGTGTTGCCTTACTTTGTTTCTGCAGGAGGTGGCGCTGTGACTTTAATTTTGGGTTCCTCTTTTGTTTGTCTTGGCAGTGGGTGGAGATAAGAAAGGGAAGTGAGCCTGACAACGGAGTCTTGTGGGGGGCAACCGAGGCATAGATTCCTGTGCTGCCACATCTCCCTGTGGACCTGAACAAGCACCAATCTGTGCACAGAACCTATGTTCTAGGCCCCTGCCTTCTTGCCATGGGTTTCTGCGTTTAGCAGCAGGTTTCTCTCCAGTCTCAAAAATTCTGGATTCCCTGAGGGGAGAGAAGGGACTCATCTGCCCACACTGCCACTAATCAAGCTCTCTGGGACTCAACACCAGGCCGAAGGGCTCAAACAGCCAAAGAGTTCACATTTGTTGAAGGGCTCATCAGCACCAGATACGGTGTCCCAACAGTTTATACCCTCTCCCAGCTTGTTTGGCTCTTAGGAATGGCTACTGCTGTGGCCACAGTGCCTTCCTCTCTCCCTGCTCCAGCACCTCTGTGAGTCATCGTCCACTGACCTTAGAAGTAAAAATTTATGGATCATCTAGGCAAAACAGCAATGAGCTGCTGAGATTTCTGCGAGTTGTAGTTGTTTTCTGGTTGTTCTTAGGTAATCAGTTTGCTGCCAGCTATGTATTCCATTGTGTCATGAACATCATATCTTTATAATTAAATGCTGAAAAGACATTAGACAAACCTCAGACATCATGTTCTAATGTAAGATCCAAGCTAAGAAAA